AAACTTCCCAGTGTGAGAGCCGGTTGGGCCCACGTACAGCTATTACAAGGAACAAGAGGGAGAGAAGAGTTAACAGTGCCCAAGCCCAAGTAATATGGCGGCTTGGGGTCCAGGCAGAGCCAGCAGTCCTGGGCTTCCTCGGGGTTCGTGGAGTTGAGGAGGGAATGAACTGAAATTAATATTGGAAAGAGTGGAGGAGCCCGGGGACTGGAGGTCGGAGTGGCGGGCGGAGCGAGATTAGTGGCTGGTAGCTGCAGGTGCCTGGGAGGGTCAGTAGTACTGGGGATGGAGATGTGTTCGGGATTAGGGAGTGCTGGTAGTGGTGGAAGGACTGGGATGGGGAGGAGAATGTCTTTGTTGGGGCCTATGGGTTGTGATGGGTTCCGGATCTCGAATCTCTGAATAGTAAATTGGGTCCCGAAATCCGGTCCGAAGAGATAAAGACGAAACCCCCATGTTCGTCCTTTGTCCCATTGCTTGGAATTAGGCTGGAGAATAGTAATTTTGAGAGAGTTGCAGGTATTTAGGATTTTGCAGGACTCGTTGCTGGTGAGACCAATGTGGATGTCTTGGTCCTCATTTTTCCAGGATGCTGCAGTCCCACAGCCCCAAGAGGCGCAGAAATGTACGTCCTGGCCCTTGCAATGGGGTGGCCTGTTTGCCGGGCAGGCATAGAACTGAGTTCCCCGAAGCGCTTTTTGATTAGCTAAATTCCGACAGTTGGCGCGGACACCTATTAGACCGCCCCTGGCAGTCGTGGGGTGTGGCATCTGAAAGGGGATGTTTAATATACAGAGGTCAACCAGTAACTGGACAAAGGTGTCCCCAGGAGGTCTTATATGGGTGGCTATAACAGTTTCTGTCCCCGTAAGTCGTAATTCCCATTTTTCTGATATAGTGGCATGGGGGTTTTTCGAGTGAGACCGGCTAGAAGCAGCTTGGAGTAAAAGGAGAAAGATTAAGAGGGGACCCTTCCCAGTCTTATCTTTTGATCGCCAGGGCTGCTGAGTATTTTCGATCTCTCCCCAGGGTCCGGAGGCGCAGGTTTGACTTGGGAGTGGTGTATCCAAGTGGGGATCCCAGCAACCTTGAGAGCGGTGGGGGTGGTCAAGGTGACGACATAAGGTCCTTTCCAAGTTGGCTCGAGCGTTTTGGAAGGGATGCGTCACCAGGCAGGAATGGGTGGGGCTGTAAGGGCCCATTGTCTGGTTGTGTGGCTTTGATGATCGGCAGCAGCTCAGTCTGGAGCGTCTGTACGGCCTGGACAGACTGAATTAAAAAGTGGTTAGAGACTTCAGATAGAATCTCAATCTCTAACCGAGGGAGGAGGGGGCGAGGCCTTCCATATAGGATTTCAAAAGGAGAAAAATCAACTCAGTATGGGGTGCAGCGGACACAGAGCAAGGCTAAAGGAAGCAAATCTGGCCACCCAGTACCAGTCTCTAGAACAAATTTAGTAAGAGTCTCTTTTAATGTTCTGTTTATCCTTTCAACTTGCGCTGAGCTCTGTGGCCAATATGCATAATGAATTTTCCAAGAAATATGGAGGGCCTTGGCTAGTAATTGAGAGACATTAGCCGTGAAGGCTGGGCCATTGTCGGACCCCAGGTACCGGGGCATGCCAAATCAGGGGATGAGCTCCTGAAGGAGTTTCTTAGCGATGATGGAGGCTGTCTCTGTCCAGGTGGGATAAGCCTCTACCCACCTGGAAAAGGAGTCAATAAAGACTAGTAAATACTTGTAATTGTATTTGCTGGTGCGAATTTCAGTGAAATCTATCTCCCAATGCTCTCCAGGGTGACTCCCATAGAATCGAGTTCCCATCTGTCATGGGTGGGGGCTGGCATTAACTTTAGCACAAGTAAGACATCTCGAGGTGATGTCTTGAATGAGGGCAGAGAGGTCTGGGACCTTCAACTTGGAGCAAACTAACTCCCCGAGCTTCCTTGCCCCGAGATGGGTGAGCTGATGGAGTTGCATTAGGAGCTGTCTTCCCAAAGCTTTAGGTAAGCAAAGTCGATTATCTTGGGCCCTAAACCATCCATCCGGTTGGAGGTGGGCGTGCTGCAACAAGAATGAATGACGTTCCTCCTTAGTGTATGTGGGGTTCTTAGGGAGATATTCTAATAGTTGGGTAGTTATAATATTAATTGGCCCCACTGGTCTTATGGCAGCTTCCCGGGCGGCCTGATCTGCCGCCTGGTTCCCAATGGCTTCAGGGCTTATGTCCTTTTGATGTCCCCTGCAGTGTATTACTGCGACCGCTTTTGGGTCCCAGATGGCTTCTAAGAGCGTTAAGATTTCTTTCTTGTTTTTGATGACCCTACCTTGTGATGTTAGGAGGCCTCTGTTTTTATAAATCTCCCCATGGATATGAACAGTGGCAAAAGCATATCTACTGTCTGTGTATATGTTAATGGCCTTATCCTTTCCGATCTTGAGGGCCTGGGTGAGGGCTATGAGTTCAGCCTTCTGGGCTGAGGAGCCCCTGGGT